TAAGAGTAGAGTTATATATGGAGATGGCCAGTGAAGGACAGGATAGGGAAGGGATGGACAGCAGTTGTGAATCAATGTCAGCTGACAACTGTTGGAGATTAAGAGAATTAAGGTTCCTCCTGAGTTGAGGCTGGTTAGGTGGAGGTTGTTGGGTGAGGGGGTACGTGAGAGCAAATGATAAGAGGTGGTGATCAGAGAGAGGATAAGGAGTGTTGCAGATATTAGATACTGTACATGCATAAGTGAAGATTAGGTCAAGGGTATTGCCAGCTACATGGGTGGGAGAATTTGCCCACTGTGATAGCCCGAGGGAGGAAGTAATTGAAAGTAGTTTATTGGCTACAGAGGTCAAAGGTGGGTTTATAGGAATATTGAAGTCCCCGAGAATTAGGGATGGGATGTTAGAAGAGAGGAAATAGGGTAGCCAGGCAGCAAAATGGTCAAGGAAGAGAAGAGGGGAACCAGGGGGACGATAGATAACAGCAATGTTAGCAGCGAAGGGTTTGAAAAGGCGAATTGAGTGTATTTCAAATGATGGGAAAGAGAGGGAAGGGGGGGTGGGAAGAGGTTTAAAAGAGCATTGAGGGGAGAGGAGAAACCCAACACCACCACCTTTACATTCAGAGTTTCTTGGGGTGTGGGTAAGTTGGAGACCACCGAAGGACAAAGATGAGGGGTGGCAGTGTCAGAGGGGGAGAGCCAGGTTTCTGTTAAGGCTAGTAAATCTATTGAACGAGAGATATATATCATGTCTGGGGGCTATATCTGAGCAGTATATATATATACTATGTCTGGGCGCTATATCTGAGCAGTATATATATATATATATATACCATGTCTGGGCGCTATATCTGAGCAATATATATATATATACCATGTCTGGGTGCTATATCTGAGCAGTATATATATATACACCATGTCTGGGCGCTATATCTGAGCAGTATATATATATATATACCATGTCTGGGCGCTATATCTGAGCAGTATAAATATATATATACACCATGTCTGGGCACTATATCTGAGCAGTATATATATATATATATATATATATACACACCATGTCTTGGCGCTGTATCTGAGCAGCATATATATATAATACCATGTCTGGGCGCTATATCTGAGCAGTATTTATATATACACCATGTCTGGGCGCTATATCTGAGCAGTATATATATATATATACCATGTCTGGGCGCTATATCTGAGCAGTATATATATATATATACCATGTCTGGGTGCTATATCTGAGCAGTATATATATATATATACCATGTCTGGGTGCTATATCTGAGCAGTATATATATATATATATATATATATATATACCATGTCTCGGCACTATATCTGAGCACTATATCTATATATACCATGTCTGGGCGCTATATCTGAGCAATATATATATATACCATGTCTGGGCGCTATATCTGAGCAGTATATATATATATACCATGTCTGGGCGCTATATCTGAGCAGTATATATATATATACCATGTCTGGGCGCTATATCTGAGCAGTATATATATATACCATGTCTGGGCGCTATATCTGAGCAGTATATATATATACCATGTCTGGGCGCTATATCTGAGCAGTATATCTATATATACCATGTCTGGGCGCTATATCTGAGCAGTATATATATATACCCATGTTCATTATATCTGGAGCAGTATATATATATATATACCATGTCTAAGGCTATATCTACAGTATATATATATACCATGTTCAAGGCTATATCTGAGTATATATATATATACAATGTCTGGCGCTAGCATCTGAGCAGTATATATATATACCTATGTCTGGGCTATCTGAGCAGTATATATATATACCATGTTCATGCTATATCTGAGCAGTATATATATATATATACCATGTCTGGGCTATATCTGATATATATATATATATATATATATATATATATATATATATATATATATACCATGTCTGGGGTATTATATCTGAGCAGTATATATATATATATATATATATATATATATACCATGTCTGGGCGCTATATCTGAGCAGTATATATATATATATACCATGTCTGGGTGCTATATCTGAGCAGTATATATATATATATACCATGTCTGGGTGCTATATCTGAGCAGTATATATATATATATATATATATATATATACCATGTCTCGGCACTATATCTGAGCACTATATCTATATATACCATGTCTGGGCGCTATATCTGAGCAATATATATATATACCATGTCTGGGCGCTATATCTGAGCAGTATATATATATATACCATGTCTGGGCGCTATATCTGAGCAGTATATATATATATATACCATGTCTGGGCGCTATATCTGAGTAGTATATATATATATATATATACTATGTTCATGCTTATATCTGAGCAATATATATATATATATATACCATGTCCACGCTTATATCTGAGCAATATATATATATATATATATATATACCATGTCTAAGGCTATATCTGAGCAGTATATATATATATATGCCCAAGGTTCAAGGCTATATCTTGTTGTGCATATATATATACCATGTTCACAGCTTATATCTGAGCAGTATATATATATACCTGCGCTGTGTGTGGCTTATATTCATAGTATATATACATATGTTCATGTTCATGCTTATATCTGAGTAGTATATCTATATATATATACCATGTCTGGGCGCTATATCTGAGCAGTATATATATATACCATGTCTGGGGGCTATATCTGAGCAGTATATATATATACCATGTCTGGACGCTATATCTGAGCAGTATATATATATATATATATATATATATATACCATGTCTGGGGGCTATATCTGAGCAGTATATATATACCATGTCTGGACGCTATATCTGAGCAGTATATATATATACCATGTCTGGACGCTATATCTGAGCAGTATATATATATATATACCATGTCTGGGGGCTATATCTGAGCAGTATATATATATATATACCATGTCTGGGGGCTATATCTGAGCAGTATATATATATATACCATGTCTGGGCGCTATATCTGAGCAATATATATATATATATACCATGTCTGGGCGCTATATCTGAGCAGTATATATATATATATATACCATGTCTGGGCGCTATATCTGAGCAGTATATATATATATACCATGTCTGGGCGCTATATCTGAGCAGTATATATATACCATGTCTGGGCGCTATATCTGAGCAGTATATCTATATATACCATGTCTGGGCGCTATATCTGAGCAATATATATATATACCATGTCTGGACGCTATATCTGAGTAGTATATCTATATATATATGCCATGTCTGGGCGCTATATCTGAGCAATATATATATATATATACCATGTCTGGGCGCTATATCTGAGCAGTATATATATATACACCATGTCTGGACGCTATATCTGAGTAGTATATCTATATATATATACCATGTCTGGGCGCTATATCTGAGCAGTATATATATATATACCATGTCTGGGCGCTATATCTGAGCAGTATATATATATATACCATGTCTGGGCGCTATATTTGAGCAGTATATATATATATATACCATGTCTGGGCGCTATATCTGAGCAGTATATATATATACCATGTCTGGGCGCTATATCTGAGCAGTATATATATATATATATACTCATGTTCAAGCGCTTATATCTGAGCAGTATATATATATATACCTATGTTCATGCTTATATCTGAGCAGTATATATATATATATACTCATGTTCATGCTTATATTTTGAGCAGTATATATATATATACCATGTTCAAGGGCTATATCTGGAGTAGCAGTATATATATATATACCATGTCTGGCGCTATATCTGGAGTTGGTATATATATATACCATGTCTACGCTATATCTGGAGCAGTATATATATATATACCATGTCTTGGCGCTATATCTGAGCAGTATATCTATATATACCATGTCTGGGCGCTATATCTGAGCAATATATATGTATACCATGTCTGGGCGCTATATCTGAGGAGTATATATATATATATACCATGTCTGGGCGCTATATCTGAGCAGTATATATATATATACCATGTCTGGGCGCTATATCTGAGCAGTATATA